ATGCACCGTAACTGTACACCTAAGCTTGTAGTGCGCCCAAAGATCATAGTGGCCACCCTCTAAACAGCTAGACAAATCATGCAGACGACGTCACCTCCGTCATCCATATGGCTCCTCCCAGCATAATCCTTTTGCTGTTATTACACTAATACACACATTATATATAAGTATCTACATTTGTGTTCACCATAGAGAACCACTGACCTGGTATGGTGAATGCAAACAATAACAGCTAGCCACACAGTCAGTAAACGATGCTGTCTCCCTCCATCTCTCAGCATCACTCCTCTCACAGCGCTAATTATTACAACAATCCTGCTATTATCACAACCCTGGTTATTTATATCACAGTCATGGGTCATCTGTAATATTGTCATCGCTAAATAATAACAATTATATATTTATTTTGACATTTTTCGGCGATGCTGTGGTCACAAGCTGAACAGCAATGCTGTTCGCTCATGCTGCGTGCGCCGGCCTTGGTTGCTCCAACAGTACTGTGCCTCTCACACCTGAGAATATTGCCCACGATTTTTTTTTTAAATGGCATCTGTTTACAAGAGCCCTGAGGAAGCTACTGTGAACCCCGTGTAGCCGTGGGCCATTTGAATCAGGCCTGGCACCCTATGGCGTATATATACGCCATGCGCACCATGGGACATGTTACTCAGGGCGTATATATCAGGATCAGGGTCAGCAAAATCAGGGTTAGGGGGCATGGGTAAACTGAGTAAGGAGAGAGGGAAGGAAGCAGAGCAGACAAGAGGCAGACTGATGGGGTCCAGAGGAGGAGGAGACAACTGAGAGGGGCAGGCAAGGACAGCTGGAGGGGGGGGGGGGGGGGCAGAAATCATGGAGTGCACCTAAGCAAGGGCAGCAACCGAGAGGGAATCGGGGGCGAAAGAAAACTCCATATCTGGGACAGGGGCTCCGACTACTGAAATGGGAGGGGACATAGTGACAGAGTCAGAGGGAGGGGGTGAGGAAGAAAGCGATACCTTCTTACCCGCTGGAGAGGAAGAAGGAGAACAGCCAGGCTTACGTTTCTGACTCGAAGAGACAGGCGTGCCAGTAACAACATACCGGGCAACAGACTCAATGGTCTCAGCAGGAGAAGAGGAACGGGAGCGAACAACACGAAGATTGCTGGGAGGATGATGGATCTCAGCCTGGACAGACAGGTGGTGCAGAGGGTCAAGAGACTGGGGGGAGGGTAGGGAAGAAAGAGTGGGGGGGGAGATGGGGAAAAAGACATAGGAGATATGGTGGACTGGGTAGGAATGGGGGAAACCCCAGACGGAGAACCAGGAGGGAGACCTGGCGGGACAGGAGGCAAAGGAATAGGGGAGGAGGTGGTGGGTGTGGTTGGATTTAAGGCCTGGAAACGGTTGTGAGACTGAGGAAGGTGGGAAGGGCGAGGAGAGGTCGAACACAACATTTGAGCGTAGGATACGCCCGCAAAAGGGGTGAGATGACAAATTTGGCGCCTCGCTTCAGGAAAAGACAGACAATCACAGTGCTTCAAGTTGAGGACGGCTTCCTCGAGTTTGTAGTGTATACACGAGCGTGAGAAAGCAGGGTGGGCCTCACCGCAATTGAGGCACCAAGCCTGGGGAGAAGTGCACTCGGACTTAGAATGACTATCATTCCCACACATGGGGCATAGATACACAGTACTTGTGCACGTGAGGACTTCGTGCCCGAACTTCCAACACACAACATTCCTAGGAGAGGGAATGTACTCCTGAACGGTGCATCTGGCACCAGCAAGAATAATAGAGGGCGGAAGGGCCCTACTATCAAAGGTGATTTTAACAACTTGAAGGGGCTGACGGCGACAACCACGAGGGGGTCGAGTAAACATGTCCACCTGGAGGACAGAATGGCCTTGGGCTTCAAGGATATGTTTAATATCCTCATGGCAATCTTTGAGATCCCGAACACCAGTTGCAACATGGTGTGGGGGAAGAGAACAGTGCCAACACTGGCATTTAACCGAGCGTTTGGGGACCCGAACAGGGGTCTCTCCAATGCAGGACAAAGTGGCTAAGCGAGTAGCTGCATCCTGAGAAGGAGCAGCGACAACACGCGTACCGTAACTGGTGGAGTTAAAAGTAACAGAGGCATCTACTGAATCAACAAGGTGTTTATAGAGGGAGAAATCGCCAGGAGGAGTAGAGTCCAGATGGTAGAGATCAAAGTATTTAGCCCACGTAGCGGGACCAAACAAGGCGTTGTAAGTATTAGTACGAGAAGGGATCGTGCGAGTGTGGCTGTGACGGGGACAGCGTTGAGGACCCCCAGAGAGAGAGGGGGGTAAAAGGCGCAGTAGTTACAATGAGAGACGGAGCCGTGCCAGGGTACGAGGTGGTCACCACTGGGGGCTGGGAACTCGACCCTACTGCATAGGAGGGAGGGGAGTTGAGGGGAGTAATCAGGGGGTCGGGGCCCAATGCAGCAGGGGCTACAGGGCCTGGCCTTCCAACACAGTCCGACTCGGGGGCTTGGTCGCCCACCCCACGAGCCTGAGAAGGAACAAGGGAAACATTATCAGTCATCAAAACGAGGAAAAAACTTTCATTCACGAATGTGCCCCCCAGACAAAATTGCAGGTAAAGGATAATATTCAGAGGTTGAAAATGGGAAATAGATTCACGGAAGATGAAAAGGAAATGTGTGAAACACTAAACGAAAAGTTCCAAAGTGTGTTTGTACAAAATGAAATCTTTAGGGAACCAGATACAATAAGAATTCCAGAGAACAACATAGAGCACATAGAGGTGTCTAGAGACGAAGTGGAAAAAATGCTCAAGGAGCTAAGTAAGAACAAAGCAGTTGGTCCAAATGGAGTTTCACCATGGGTTCTGAGAGAATGTGCACCTGAGCTCAGCATTCCACTTCAACTGATTTTTCAGGCATCCCTGTGTACAGGAGCTGTAGCTGATGTGTGGAAAAAGGCTAACATAGTTCCAATCTACAAAAGTGGAAACAGGGAAGATCCCCTTAATTATAGACCTGTATCATTGACAAGTGTAATAGTCAAAATATTGGAAAAAATAATTAAAACTAAATGGGTAGAACACTTGGAGGAAAACGACATAATATCAGACAGACAGTATGGTTTTCGATCTGGAAGATCCTGTGTAACGAACTTAATCAGTTTTTATGATAGAGCCACAGGGATTTTACAGGAAAGAGATGTTTAGATTGACTGCATCTATCTGGAACTAAAAAAGGCTTTCGACAGAGTTCCCCATAAGAGGTTGTTCTGGAAACTGGAAAATATTGGAGCAGTGACAGGTAAGCTACTAACATGGATGAAAAATTTTCTGACTGATAGAAAAATGAGGGCAGTGATCAGAGGCAATGTATCGGATTGGAGAAATGTCACAAGTGGAGTACCACAGGGTTCAGTTCTTGCACCAGTGATGTTTATTGTCTACATAAATGATCTACCAGTTGGTATACAGAATTATATGAACATTTTACTGATGATGCTAAGATAATAGGAAGGATAAGAAACTTAGATGATTGTCATGCCCTTCAAGATGACCTGGACAAAATAAGTATCTGGAGCACCACTTGGCAAATGGAATTTAATGTTAATGAATGCCATGTTATGGAATGTGGAATAGGAGAACATAGACCCCACACAACCTATATATTATGTGAGAAATCTTTAAAGTATTCTGATAAAGAAAGAGATCTAGGGGTGGTTCTAGATAGAAAACGATCACCTGAAGACCACATAAAGAATATTGTGCAAGGAGCCTATGCCACGCTTTCTAACTTCAGAATTGCTTTTAAATACATGGATGGCGATATACTAAAGAAATTGTTCACAACTTTTGGTAGGCCAAAGCTAGAATATGCAGCGGTTGTGTGGTGCCCATATCTTAAGAAGCACATCAACAAACTGGAAAAGGTGCAAAGACATGCTAATAAGTGGCTCTCAGAACTGAAGGGCAAGAGCTACGAGGAGAGGTTAGAGGCATTAAATATGCCAAAACTAGAAGACAGAAGAAAAAGAGGTGATATGATCACTACATACAAAATAGTAACCGGAATTGATAAAATCGATAGGGAAGATTTCCCGAGACCTGGAACTTTAAGAACAAGAGGTCATAGATATAAACTAGCTAAACACAGATGCCGAAGAAATATAAGAAAATTCACTTTCGTAAACAGAGTGTTAGACGGTTGGAACAAGTTAAGTGAGAAGGTGGTGGAGGCCAAGACCGTCAGTAGTTTCAAAGCGTTATATGACAAAGAGTGCTGGGAAGACGGGACACCATGAGCGTAGCTCTCATCCTGTAACTACACTTAGGTAATTACACACACACACGATGACAATTTTGATGACATCCACACTTTGAGGGTTAATCTGACAATAACACACTGTTTGACCACTGTCAGTCCAAAGGTTGTGGACTGACAATAAGATTTTGAGTGGTGCTTGTAACAAGCAATGATATTCTATTGCCTCGTTCACACAGTAACAGCAGATATCTGCAATCTATTGCAACATGGTATATCATACACATCAGTTCAGTTTAATGATGAGCCATAAAGGCATTGGTACATGTTCAATTTACAGGAACAAGAGTTTGAATTTGACTTCTTGACCCCAAAATCTAGTCTCACTTATGTTATTACAGTAATGTCACAGACTATGAAAAAAAAATTCTCAATGAGAGCTAAAACACAGATGCCAAAAGCTAATGGACAGATCCCAAACAATGAGAAACGATGGAAGACACTGTTACATCATAAAACACCTGCTTTGTTTACTAAAAACAAAGTTTATGATATAGTAATACACTAATATAGGAAGAAGACATTACAAAAAATTCAATAGACTCAAAAATTTACTACAAGGCTGAAAATGCAAATATAATACAGCCATTTACAAAGAAGGAATCAAAAGATGGTAAAATAATTACCAGGAGTAAATAAAACAAATATGGATGTTATTATTATAGTCAGTTTTGCCAACTTACCTTGCCAGGTCCTTTTGTAGCTCCACCATCACTTTGTGGGACTGCTCATAATACTGAGCCTGAGCCTCAACAAGTTCATTCAGGTGACGCAGGTGTGCTGCTTGTGATGACCTATAATAAGTACAAATAATTATAACAGTATACTGTATATGTGGCTCAGTGAAACTTGATTAACCCTTGAAGGTCACAATACATATATATATGAACTGGATGCCAGATCCACTTGCATTCCAGAATTACAGATACAATTACCCACCGAAAGGGAACTACAACTACGACAGACAACTGCCCTACAACAATCAGTACTGGTCAGAACAAACTCATTATGTCCACGCATAATGGGCTTGCCGAAAAAGTCTCCCATTCAAATTATCACTAATAGAGTAACCTCATTCATCTTTGCCAACATACAAGGACTGAAAACAAGAACAAACAACAAAGTACAGTTCATAAATGGCCTCCTCACGGAGTCAAATGCAGTATTTGGAGCTTTCACAGAAACCCATGCAGGGGAATTGTTGGACAGCGAGATCTGGATTCCAGGATATAACCTATACAGGTGTGATAGGAAAATTAGGTCACATGTAAGCAAAATAGAATATAGCCTTGATAATTTGGAGAACCCGATACCTGATATTATCTTCCTAGGTGACTTCAACTTGCCTAGTCTCAGGTGGAAAATAGCAAACAATACTGTAATATTATACCAGGAAATCTATCAGGACCTAACCAACCACAGATTAGAGAACTACTTAGATTCTGTGACAAATTTTCGCTCAATCAGCAGATATCGGAGCCAACGAGAAATGAAAATATTCTAGATCTGGTTTTTACGAACAATGAAGACATTATCAGAGACATTACGATATCAGACACCACATACTCAGATCACAAGCTCATTGAAGTGCAAACGACCATCAATACTCAGAATAGACCTAAAACGTTGATAAAGCGAGAGGGGCTATTCAGTAAATTTAATTTTAATAATAAAAGGATAGACTGGGAGATAATAAACAGGGAACTTACAAACATTCCATGGGGAACTGTTCTAAGTAATACAAGTCCTACAGAAGGAATAAAAAAACTGACTTCAGAAGCGTATCAAGTCTGTCTGAAACATGTTCCTTTGAGGAAAGCCAGAAAGAGATCTAACGTAGAAAGAGAACGCAGACGACACTATAAACGTAGGAAAAAAATAACGGAACTGCTTATGCAGACACGAATTTCCCGTCAAAGAAGGAATAATTTAAATAGGGAGATTGAAGAAACCGAGCAGAAATTGAAACACTCATATGAAACTGAAGAAAGGCAGTTAGAACAGAAAGCAATTCAGGAAATAAAGAAAAATCCAAAATATTTCTTCTCATATGCGAAATCAAAAGCAAAAACCACTGCCAGTATTGGACCTATTCGTACAAGTGAAGGTTCATACACGGAGGATGACAAAGAAATTAGTGAAATCCTAAAAAAGCAGTATGAGGACATGTTTAGCACTCCAATAAACAACATGAAGGTGGAAGATCCAGACAATCTCTTTATGCGGGATATTCAAACCCCTGTAAATATAACTGATATAAACACGAGCGCACTAAATTTTGAAAGAGAAATTGAAAACATGCCCATGCACTCGGCCCCAGGTCCAGACTCATGGAATTCAATATTTATAAAGAAATGCAAAGTGCCGGTAGCACAGGCACTCAGTATAGTGTGGAGGAAGAGCTTGGACACGGGGGAGATACCAGATGCACTTAAAGTAGCAGACATAGCCCCTCTACACAAGGGAGGGAGCAAAGCATTGGCAAAGAATTATAGACCAGTTGCACTAACATCGCACATCATAAAAGTATTTGAGAGAGTGATTAGGAGTCAGGTCACCAATTTCATGGAGACCAATGACCTTCACAACCCAGGCCAACATGGATTTCGAGCGGGAAGATCGTGCCTCTCACAGCTACTTGAGCACTACGACAAAGTCACTGAGGCATTAGAAGAAAAACAGAATGCTGATGTGATATACATGGACTTCGCAAAGGCTTTCGATAAATGTGACCATGGCGTGATAGCACACAAAATGAAGTCAATGGGAATAACCGGTAAAGTAGGACGCTGGATACTCAGTTTTCTGTCAAACAGGACTCAGCGAGTAACGGTCAACCATATAAAATCTAGTCCAAGTGCAGTTAAAAGCTCTGTACCTCAGGGTACAGTCCTTGCACTGCTACTTTTCCTTATTCTCATATCAGATATAGACAAAAATACAAGTCACAGCTTCGTATCATCCTTTGCAGATGATACAAAAATCAGTATGAAATAATTAATAATTGAATAAATAATAATAATTGAATAAAAAATATGCACATCATAATTTTGACTACAGTGATAATTCACACATTTTATTATTTAAATATATCACACTACACACTATTGAATAATATTACTGCAAAATAACTAAGAAAAAATCAATCAGAGACATTGAAATAATTAAGTAAAATATCTTTGTGGTAACGCCCGCCTGACAGCTGGGGCGGACGAGACCGCCTCCGACGCATGATATGTCAATGCCTCTTTTTTGCCAGACTTCCCTGCTCTATTGCGACCAAAGTATGCCAGTTACGAATTTTTTATCTTTTTCCCCGTGATCAGGGAACATAAATGAACAGGTTTATAAGAAAAACATTTTTTTTTTTTTTTTTTTTTTTTATGCGCCTGTGGGTGTCAAATTTAGCTCTTAGCAGCTTGGGGTTAAGTAAGAGGTAGCTAAAAGTAACATTAACAGCATTTCCAAGATGATCTCACAACATATCCCAAATTTCCACAGCATCTCTCTTTAAACATCATACCACAAGCTTTTCACATCATCTTTACATCATTCTCATAGCATGACCACATCCTTCCATTCTATTACACTTATCATTCAATATTTTGTCTGGCTTTTCCTTAAAACTAATTTACATCTATCCATTTCACAGTGTTTATTGTCCATATGTAATAATTTTACTTCTCATTTTTAACCCTTAAATGGCGCATGGCTATATACCATTTGACACCCACAGGCGCATAAAAAAAAAAAAATCAAACTAACCTGTTAATTTGTGTTCACTGATCATGGGAAAAATAATACAAAAATCGTAAGTGGCATATATTGCCCGCTATAGGACGGGGAAGTCTGGCAAAAAATAGGCGCTGACTCAGCGTGCGTCCCAGGCGGTCTGTTGATCGCCAGCTGTCAGGCCGGAGTTGCCACAAAGAGATAATTACCTAATTATTTCAATGTCTCTGATTGATTTTTCATAGTTTTTTGCTGTAATATTATTCAATAGTGTGTAATGTGATATATTTATATAATAAAATGAGTGAATCATCGCTGTACTCAAAAATATGGTGTGCATATTGTTGTTTCAATTACGTTCATCAAACAGTGAACAAATACTATGTCGGTTATTACACTATATACACAGGTTATATATAAGTTTCTGCATGTTTTGTTCACCATAACGAACCACTAAGTTGGCATGCTGAGTGGCAGTGCCAGTGGCAGCCCGCCACTGGCTGCTACTTCCTCCCTCCCTCAAGTCACCTGACTCACCCACATTCTCCTCCCACAATACTGTTTTTGGTTTTATTCACTATATACAGACGCTATATATAAGTATCTACATTCGTGTTCACCATAACGAACCACTAAGTTGGTATGCTGAGTGGCAGTGGCAGCCCGCCACTGGCTGCCACTCCCTCCCTCACCTCACCTGACTTGCCACCAATCTCCTCCCACCATACTGTTTTTGCTTTTATATACAGACGTTATATATAAGTATTTACATGTTTTGTTCACCATAACTGTACATCTAAGCTTGTATGGTGAGTAAAGGCACAAAGACATAGCTACTCGCACAGTCAGCTGATGGCTGCCGCCCTCAAGGCCAGACTCACTAATATTTCTTCTCCAACAATACTGTTTGTGGTGTTATTACACTATATACACACATCATATATAAATATCTACCTGTTTTATCCACCATACTTGTACAAGTAAACTGGTATGGTGCCCAAAGACCATCGTGGTTACCAGTAAACAACATGATAAGTCGTGCAGACGACGCACCTCCCTCACCAAAATGGCGGCTCCCAACCTACTCCTCTTACTGTTTATACCCTCTATACACACGTTATATATAAGTATCTACATTTGTGTTCACCATAGCGAACCACTAAGCTGGTATGGTGAGTGCAGTCAATAAAAGGTGGCCACACACAGTCAGAAGACAACGCCACTACCCTCCTCTCCCACAGCATTACTGCATTACATTACCTGTGCTCCATGGAGCACAGTGCTAAATATCACCACAATCCTGCTATTATCAGATCCCTGGTCAGTTTTATCACAGTCAGGGGTCTTCTGTAATAATATCATCGCTACATAATAGCATGAACAAATATATTATGGCTCTTTTAGGCGATGCTGTGGTCACAAGCTGAACAGCAGTGCTGTAAGCTCATGCTGTGTGCGTCAGGCTTGGTAGCTCACTCAATACTGAGGCCCCTAACACTCGGGAATTTGGCCCACGATTTTTTTTTTAAATGGCGTCTGTTTACAAGAGCCCTGATGAAGGTGTGGTGAACTCTGTGTATCCGCGGGCCGTTTAAGTCTTGCGTAGTACTCCAAAGCATCATATGATGCGATGCGCAATTTAAGGGTTAAAGTTCAGTCAACAGAATGCAGCACCCTTCTCCATACTGAAAAATTGTACTAAAAATTACATGTGGGTAAGCTACTCCAACATTACTCACCTTACACCCTCTAGTAGGAGCTTGGTGATTTCTGCCTGTCTGTCAAAATCTGCCTGTGCCTTTCTTAAGTCTGCTTCTGCCTGGAAATTAAATGAACTTTGATCAGAAAAATACCAGCATTGAATATAATGAAACGTCATTTTCTGGGTGAGCCCTGGAGGCTTCCTGAAGTTATTACACTGATCAAGTGTAATAGCTTCTTAGTGCGTGCCATACTACTGTTGGGAAAAACCGACATCCTTTAAATAACCTTAGTTACTATATGCAACTAATAGCAGTGCTGTTCTTGTACTAATCCATTAACCATACTAACACAAATTAATTTAGTAACTCATTCAAAGAAAACGAGACTACAGTGGAATTTTCCCTTAACCACTGTGAAGCGGCAAGTTTATTGCGACATTTCCCCTGTGCGCCAAAAGTCAAGTGTTCGCAAAAATTTTTTTGATCTTTGTAAAATGATAAATTCCCTTTTCTAAAAATGTAAATGTAAAAAACTAAAAAATTCCACTTACTTTGGCTGTGGGGACGTGGAGAAGGAGGCGTGTGCAACTGTGCGTAAAGCTCCCAGAGGTGGTCGTGCGGGCCATTTGAGCTCCGCGAGTTCCCACAAATATATTTTCAAGTATTTGTTCAATGTATTTCCAATGCTGCTTTATTTATTTTTTAATCATATATGATGCATATTTTCTCCTTTACCATATGTATACAGTAGAATGTTCATAATGTTCCATGGAACTGTGATGTGTCAGTAATGTGTCCACAATAAATGTTTATTGTCGCAATATTACATGTTCAAAATTCATTAAATTACAATACTGTATGTAGAGTTTCCCAAACTATTTACACAGTAACACACACAATAAAACACAGTAACCGAGTGTGTATTACACACTCAGTACTTAAAAAGTGAGTGATAATCAACGAAGCAGTCTATGGTACACAGTGCAACTTCGCTCTTGATGCACCAGGCACACACAGATTTTCTCTTCCATCATCGGTGCTGTACCACTTGCATCCGACCCTTGTGTTAGGTTCTTATTGTGCCTAGCTTCATCAATGTTATGACCCTTATGTTCTTCAAACAATAAGGTCTGAATTTCACCGACAGAGAGCGATCTTTCAACACCGCTTCAAACAGGTGTTTGGGAGCTAGAGGCGCATGTGCCACCCATGGTTGCTCACTCAGTACTAACCCAGCCAACAGCCATAGGACATTCTGGGAAATTTTTTCCAAGATGGTTGCCTCTCACTTGAAGTCTCAAGAGTTTATTTCGTACACGACCTACCGTGCACGCGTTTTGAATGGGTATGAAATATTCAAAAGGTGTTTTCTCGGTTGGCACAGTTCCCACCAACTGAACAGTGGTGTAAGTCTAAAAAAAAAAAACCAGCGTTTAATGTAATGAAACGCCATTTTCTGGGTGAGTCCCGGAGGCTCCCCGGAGCTATCCATGGCTGATATGGATACCCTAACTATTTTGCATCAGTTGATGTGGGTGGAGTTCTAGGCCTACCGGAGACCACGAGCCAGAACCTGGCCCCCTCAGAGAGGCACGGGGAGCAATGGCCCATAGAAATGCACATGTGATTTGGAGCATTCTATATCTGCCATCGACCGGGACAGGCACCCAGAAAGGTGCCTGAAAACAAAACAAACCCCTATTCTGGTTAACAACAAAAATCGACAAACGAGTGGACAGAACTCCCCCAGGAAAACGAACTAACAAGCATGACGTCACACGAGCCGCGCCGCATGTCTGCGCAGCTCCCCCCTCCCCAGGAGGGGGAAGGGGGTGCCTCAGACCCCCGCGCCAGCGATCCCCGCCCCAGTTCTGAGGCTGGATATCAAAACCGCGAAAAAAACGCCGACCAGAGGGCGGGAGGGTGCCGGGGAGCCTCCGGGACTCACCCAGAAAATGGCGTTTCATTACATTCAACGCTGGTTTTCTGGGGGGAAGCCCCTACGGCTCCCCGGAGCTACTTCACCAATGACTACCTAAGAAAACAAGGGGACATACCCGGGAGGCGGTCGGTGAACCACTCCTCAACACGAAGTCGAGACAACAACCCACGACCATAGGAGCCAAAAACCACTGCGCCTGAGAGGAGCATGAAGCTCTGCCACACGACCCCCAGAGGCCAATGCCAACATAAAATGAGAGCCGAGGTAAAGCAAACCTGACCCCAAGGAGCCACAACCACCAAGAAGAAAAACAGGAGAGCACCCTGTCCAAAGACCAGGACAGCCCCAGGAGGGAAAAGAAAACGCAGGACCAAAACCAAAATGCCACAAGCGTGCAAGTCCACCGCCACAAGTGCAGCCGACAGGGAAGGAACCCGCATAAGGAGCCGCCCCACACTAACAACCCGCAGAAGGGCAGGAGCGAAAAGACTCATTAAGAGGAGCAAAATCGCCCTCAGGAAAACGAGTAGCGCCGAGACAGTGCGAAGAGAAGAGATATGCACAAAAGAACAAGAAGGCCAAACACCCAGAAGCTGCCAGGAATAGGACCCACAACCCCTAGAAAGGACCGGATGGAAGCTCAACCAAATAACGACAGACGTACCAGAAAACGGGAAGGAGCAAAACCGTCCCAAACCTTCGAGAACAAAAAGAAGCAAACACAAAGGACGAAGGCACAAAAACCCTGTCGCACCCGAGACCAAAAGTCATGCAGAAACCCCAAGAAGAGGGGGACATGACGGAGAAGGCCCGTACCGGAAAAAAGGAGCGAAGACCGTAGAAAAGCACCCACCGACAGGACGGAAACAACGAGCACAATGGACAAGGAAACCGAGCCCAGGGAGGGGCCGACGCCCACAAAGCACGTGCGGAGAGGGGGAACGGAAAAACCCCACACCACAAAACCGCAAGACCCGCCCAGAGGGGTAGAAATACCCCAGAGGGGACCAACGGGGCCTGAGGCCCCTCACTTTAGCCCCACCCCAACCCCGGAAACCCACCCTGCAGGCCAAGGGCCGAGCTGTCCCCTCAAAGCCCCAGCGTCAAGAAAAACCCCGGGGCAGCCGTGAAAAAAACTAAGGAAGGGAGCCCACTAGGCTCTGGAACTTTAACCAAAACCAGAGGATAGGCAAGGGGCGAGACGAAGACCCCAAGCTCATCCCCAGCCAGCACAACTAGGTGAGGACAAGACAGAGAATCCAAGGAACATGGAAAAACCTGGCTCAGCACAGCAAGACCGGCAAGGAAGGAGGGCCCCAGAGGGAGCACGGAAGAGCCGAACATAATGCCACAACCAACCCCGACACGCAGCTGCAGTACCAAAACCGCAGCAAAACGTCATCACACTCCCCGAGGAAGCGACAGAGAAGATAGATAAATCGTACACGAGTGGCACACAAGGGGACACAGGCGGAAACCGAGCACCCAACTGAGCCACAGGGACGGTAGAAGAAATGTGTGCAGTGTAATAGGCAATCGAAGGAACACATTAGGCAGCCCAACTTGGGCTGACCCCATACACAGCCCCAAGAGCAGAGACGAGAGCGCCCATGAAGCACAGAATTCGCTCGACAGGTAAACGACAGGGAAGAGGCGGAACCATAGAGCCAGAACCCAATCCTGCAAGCACAAGGAGGTGAGCACAAAACACCCTCGACACAGGAAAACGTACCACCAAACAGGCACCCCCACCATTACACTGTGGAACAAGGTGGAGGCAGGGCCCCGAACTCAAGCAAGGTTAGACAAGCATAGGAGAGGGGCAGGAGGAGTACAGGCAGGAGCCGCCTTGGAAGGGCCAAGAGGCCACCCGCAGACACCCGTGAACCGAGGAAGGAATCAGGTGGAGAGAACAAGAGCTGCCTAGTATGGGCTAATAGCCCTGCAGTAGGCACCTCGGGTGATACGGTCCATGTCTCAAGTACGTATGTACACCCATTCCTACTTCCAAAAACAAAAACAGCATCAGGACGAAGGAGATGCCAAACCGCACCAAATCACCTGCAGAACATAGGCGCTGAAGGGCCATGACGCAAGCTATCGAGTCCGTAGCCACCGGAGGCGGCCAGGGCGCCCATGCTGGAGAGGAGGGGAGCGGAGAAGGAGGCTTCCCACCCTAGCACGCAGGGAAAAACCTCGTGACTTTCCCACAGCGGCACCCCAGAACACCCTCAAGCAACGGGGCACGGATTAGATTAAGAAAAGAGCGAGAGGCGAAGCCTCCCCCCCCCCCTCCCCCGGGAGAAAATGGATGCAGAACACATGCGCACACCGCCCGGAACCAAAACAAACTCCCACGGCGCATGCGCAGGACGCGAAAGAAAAGTAGCCCAACAAGGCGAGAAGTAGCCCAACTGGCAACAGTAGCCCAACTGGTGACAATAGCCCAAACTGCTACAAAGAGCCCAAATAGCCACAAAGGAGCCCAACGGCGACAAGGAGCCCAAACGGCTACAAGGAGCCCAACCTGGCCAGAACAGAAGGAGCCAGTATGGAAGCAAACTCCGGGACACGCAGGAGGTAAGCCGCAAAGGGCCAACCGCACCGCAGGCGAAGAGATGCGGTGAGCCGAAAACCTCCGGAAGACGGAACCGAAGAAATCACAGGGACACGGAACCGAACCCGGGGAAGAGCAGAACCCAAGCCCAAATCGTACACAGAGGGGGGAAAGAAAACCCCACTCCTCGCAACAGTAAGCCCCGCTCAGAAGGACAGAAATCCAGGCAGGGTGCAATGGAACCCAAGGCCCCTAGGCCACTCCTCCCCAACCCCGGAAGCCTCTACACCAGGCCCCGGGGCCGAGTTTACCTCCAAAGCCCCGGCCCCACAAGAAAAAGCCGGGGCAGCCACTGGTCAGACCCCTGAGCATCGGCCGGAGGAACAGACTCGAATACCTCCGCAGCTACCCCGGACGGGGCAACCCCCGAAACTGCCCAAGTCTCAGAACTTCTAACCCCGCCCCAACCCCAAAGCCTGCAGATGCGTAGGGGCCGGAAGCAGGAGGGGGAAAAACAAGGGGGGTGTGGAAGAAGCAAGGCCGAAGTGACCAAAACCCCCAAGTCTGGGTCCCTACACAAGCGGGGCAGCATCGGGGCGTCCGGGGAAGCGACAAAC